ACAGATTCTGCTTGAGCAAATCCTGTCTGGATTTGCAAGTGCACCTGCCCCATCGCTGGACTACACTGGACTTTCTCGTTCTGTCTTATGGACTCCTTTCTCTTCCCTTTTGGCCCACTGCTTTCCTGAGCTGTAGGCAAAGCTTGCCACAAGCTTCAATTCCTGCCGGAATGAACTTCTGTTAGCACCTGCAATTCCATTAGCTCCCCAGGCACGGATTCTTACACCAGTGGGTAGACCTAGTGCTATAGCTTAAGTCGTCTCGATCCTGCCTGAGTAACTGGATATACTCAGCAGTTATGTAACACGACCATGGCTTCATGCCACTGGTGCGTTCTAGGAAAGTTCTATTTTAATCAATACTTCGCAAGTGAAATTCTCTTTTAAATATTCTAAAGGGATTGTCTCAAAGAATCCTATTTTGATCCTTGTACAGAAAGCAAGTAGCCATAGGGTAGTGTGTGAAGTACATTATTCAAGATTTGAGCTGTGGTTCGAGTCCCAGTTCTCAGACTGTAACCTTGGATGAATCATCATAGTTTTCCTGCAACTGTTTATTCATCTGAGCAACGAGGAGGGCTACACTAACGTCTAAGATCTGATCTAGTTGTGGTAGTCTCTTATTCTTAATCTGAGACCTGCAGATGGCATAATGGCTACGTTGCTGGACTCCCATGTAGTCAACCCTGGTTCAAGTCCCAAACCTGGCAGCTTTAAACTCACACGGGGCATGTGTGAGTGTGTGCCCAAAATTCTGAGATGAGAATGGAGAAGGGGTTACCGCATGGCCGTCCCCCATAGGGGGTGATATCTCTCTTTCTGTCTCTCTGGTAAGTACATGCGCCCTACAGCAAAAAGTTCTCTTAAAAAAAAAAAAACAAAACACTAGTCATTCCTTAATTTATTTTATTTTATATATTTAAGTTGTCAGATTTTTTTTTTTTTTGAGAGGCTTTCACTATAGGGCGTGTGCACTTGTCAGAAAGGCAGAGAGAGACAGAGAGACAGAAAGCGAGAAATCACCCCCCAGGGTGGATGGTCACGCTGCAATCCCTTCTCCTCCATTCTCCTCTCGGGATCTTGGGCATGCACGCACACGCGCAAGGCGTGAGTTTAAGTCACTGGGTCCGGGACTTGAACCGTGGTCAACTATGTGGGAATCCAGCGACATAGCCATTACCCTAACTGCTGGTCCCTAAATTGTCAGATTAAAAGTTCTCAAAATTTAGTTCCCTGATGTGAAGCTTCTGCCTGGGGATTTACTCTCTTGGCTTTTTTTTTTTCCTTGTGAATTGTCCTTAGTGACCCGGAATTGTCATAACAGATGTTGACGGAAGTAAGCATTACAGACGGGGAGCTGCCTTTACCTCAACAGAACTTTTAATTTTTCTTTCTGGCAATAACAAAAAAGGAAGGGGAGCTCTTCTGAAAGGGGAACAGGAGGCCACCCCAAGCCACCTTGATGAAGGTCACAACCCTGTGCTGAGCAGGGAGAGTTGAAAGCGATCGCCCTGAGAAACAGGGCCAGCTATTAGCCTGATCTTTGCTTCTGTAATTAGTAGGGAGGCTCCGTATCTTTGTCTGAGACCCTTTAATCTAGGTTTTGCTAAATGTTTTACAAACGTAATTAATTCAATTAAACTTCACCTGCCACCTTGAGGCAGGCAATTCCTCTCGGGATATCACATCTTTGCTCGCTGTGGTCTCATCTACAGACGAGCATCAGTGCAGATTAAGATAATGAGCAATAACAATGAAACCTTGCATGAGGTCGAGTTCTATGACTAAAGCCTCACGTGCTGTACAGATATCGGATCTGTGTAATGAGGACTGAAAAGGAAGCTTGAACCAGCTTCTTTCCAGGGACCACAAGGCAGAGATACGGCTCTCGTGTTAGGGTCCACTCCCTGCTGAGGACACTGACCTCGAGTGGCTCTTTGTGGCCTCTTTATGACTCAGTTCTCACAGCTTTCAAATGGAGCAGTAATATTGCTCACCTTGCTACTTCACAGAGGTGTTGCAAGGAATGATGTTTGTAATATGCTGTGGGGTTCAGAAGAAAGATGGAAATTAATATGTGGTGAAACATCATTACCACTTATCTTCACACCGGCCAAACGTGCCAGGTGAGGAGTCCTGGCAGAGGAGCTAGTACTACCATGATTGCCATTTAACACCTATTCTAGACACCCAAAGAGGGTGAGAACCATCCAGGGTGGCTGGACACTAGTGGGACAAACAAAAGCCAGCCGAGACATTGCATCACCAGACAGTTAGGTAGTGGTTTTGTTCTCTTTCCCCTTCCCATTCTTTTATTTATTTATTTATTTTTAGAGAGAAATTTTTGCTATAGGGCGTGTGTGCTTGCCAGAGGAACAGAGAGACAGAAAGCGAGAAACCACCTCCCAGGTTGGATGACCACACCACAATCCCTTCTCCTCCATTTTCCTCTTGGGGTTTTGGGCACATAGGCACATGTGCCTGGTGTGAGTTTTAAGCCACTGGTTTGGAACTCAAACTGTGGTCCACCATGTGGGAGTCCAATGATGTAACCATTATACTAGCTGTTGGTCCTCTCCTTCCCATTCTTATACCAGGTAAAGTATTTGAGAAAAAAAAATGAATGCAGACCAAATCAGAAAATGAACGAAGCAACTTTTCCTCTTGATTCTGAATTATCAGTCGTATGCATAATTCACAGTCTCCAGAAAGCACTCGTGTGCAAGCCCTCCTCTGCACTTGGCTCTCGGTGTCAGTAATGGTCCCCATCCATCTGCATGGAGGGCTCTCTGCCTCCATGAAGCCATGCTGGCCTAACTCTCTGCTTAAACTGTCTCTGTCACTCTGTGTGTGTAATGAACACATGTCTGGAAATTTATATTCTGCTGTAGGTCTTGCTCCTTAATAGATTTACCTCTTCTAGGCATATTTGATTAAATCTCCATTCTTCATCCATTACAGGCCTTGGAACATTGACGTTAATCAAATAAATGATAAATGAACATGTGAACTGCCAGCAAAATGTCCAAATTAGAACCTGGACCACACCAAATGCACACCTACTGTGTGCACGTGCTGTATTGCAGCCTGGGAGGCTCGCGTAGTGTGGAGTAGAACTATGAAGCAGGAGAAATTAAAGGGAGAGACATGGGTTTAAAGATTAACGTGTCAAACCGTATTCCAAAGGGAAACGAAACATCTAACAGGGTCACGCACACTGTCTGTACATACAATAGGACACAGAAAGACGGAGACACTTTAGTGATGATCGCTGTCACAGGAGAGCACAGGCCGATCAGAACTCACCATGCTTAGGCAGCTCAGCTTGTCTGCAATGTCATGGTTACTCGTTGCATTACACCCAGACCAAAGGCTGGCCTTCCAGACTTCCATGGAGCGGACCAGGGTTTCCTACCACATCCTGTTCCCTTCGTGGTCACACACCCCTGCCTGCAGGGGAGTGACGGACCTTCTCTGTATAAGACTGCATTTGCAGGGTCTCCAGTGTATCTGGAAATTGGGCAAAATGACCTCAGAGAGGTAGAGAGATGTGAAATGGCTACTGGACACTGGGAAGGATCGTGGGGGGACAGAGGAAGGTAGAGTGACAGAAACGGAATTGTAGGTAGAAAGAATGACACTGTAAAGTCCAGTGAGGAGGATGCGGGTCACAGCAACGGACCGTATGTAAGGGTTTCAGCTGGTTGAGATGATGGCTATACTAATTACCATGATTTCATCGTTACACCATGTCTGCATTTACTGAACATGCTAACAATTGTCATGTCAGTGGAAATTATGACTTATTTTCATTTTAATTTTGCTATAGGTATAGGGCATGAGTGCTTACATGGAGAGAGAGAAAGTGGGAAATACTTTGTTTTCTTTATTTATTTATCAGTTGTTGGGCACTTAGGTTGATTCCATATCTTAGTTGCTACAAATAATGCGGCAGTAAACATGGCAGATGCACCCTTCTTACCCCAACGATGGTGCGTGAGTTGCCTACTATATTCAGGGATCCAGCCAGAAGGAAAAAGTGTAGGTGTCTCTAGCTATGGAGGGGAGGATGGGAAGCCTCTCTCACCTGCCCACTGGTGCTGGTACAGTTTTGTCATTTTACAAATGACCATTCCTCAACTTCCATCAGGTGAGGTCAAATGTAAACTCTTCTTGTTTTCTCTGCTAAATATTTAAATGCCTGCCTACTAGGCTATAAAATGCTCACTTAATTTTTTTTTTTGAGGTACAGTCTTCTTTTAATTGACATTCAATTTCCATTCCATGATATTCTCCCTCTTAAAGTATACACATCACTGAATTTTAGTGTGTTCACAAAATTAGTGAAGCCATCATTAATCACAGAGTATTTTTATTACCTAACCCCATGTGCTTATTTTGACCCTAAAATCAACTGTTAATTTTATTTGTTACATTGTGCTAATAGTATTTTTGGAAACTCACAACGACACATCTATAATTTTAATTAGCCTTGCAATGGGTTTGCTTAGTTTACTATTTTTAATGTTTGTGCTATTTATAACTTACAATTTGATCAAGGGTTTGCACTCACACATGCTCACACACATTGGTGTTTGGGGTTGATCTTGTTAGAGTTACTTGTTTCAGATTGGGGATGTCAGTGCCCACAGTTGAAGGAGAGTGAGTGAACACAGTGTAAGTATTTATAGAACATCTACTATTTTCCAGGCATTATTCCGCAACAGTTTCAGGAGATAGGTTCTGCTATCATTTCATATTTTTTAACATGTGAGCAGATAGAGGCTGGTGGAGTTTGTATAACTCTTTGTATCTCAATCTGGCGAAGTCCAGATTTGAACCCTGGCTGTCCATATTCAGAGCACATGCCCTTAACTACTGTGCTCTACCACTTGCTGTTAAATTGGACCTTTAGTTTAATCATTCCAACGACACTTGATCAGTGCTGTGTGATGTGTTTTCCTAAGTCCCTCATTCTGTTCTCTCCACGGTCCTGCCAGATGTGACCAGATGGGAAGAACCGGTTGCCATAGGTGAACCCATCACACAGCAAGGTCGGCACAGAGAGCAGCCAGGTTCCAGGGTTTGCTTCCCAGAGCCAGGGTAAGTGTGTGCTTGTCTTCAAGATACGAGGACTTCTGACAGTACTTCAGGTGTCCGTCCGAGCTCTCACAACGATAAAACACCGTCTCTCTCTTGTTTGCATGCTCAAATCCCTACACCAGCCTGAAGACAGCAAATATGACTTTATTTATTTACGTAGTCCCTACATTCAAATAAAATGCTTATTGAATAAATGCATGGATAAATAAAAACACGCGATTTTCCGCGGACTCACTTGAGTGTTTTATTTTTAGACCTCTGTCAGAGTTTAACCACAGGGCCTGCCAGTGGTGTGGTGGCTAATGGCTGCATGAATGGCTGACCCTGTGGTGTGAGTCCCAGACCTGCTGGTTCGAAAAACATGAGGAATGTGTGCCCAAAATCCCGAAGGAAGGGAAAAATGGAGAAGGGGTTGTTCATGACCACACCCCATCGCGAGGTCCTTTCTCTTACTCCCTCTGTCTTTCTCTCTCTCTGGCAAGCACACATCCTCTGGAAATGAACAGAAATGCTATTTATAAACTGGTCTATCTCCTGGGTTAAAAAAAAAATCTGGTTCTGGTACATCTAACCCCTTTAGTCTACAGAAAACTTCTAAGTGTTAGACTTTCTAAAGTTCTTTTCATCATTCCTAAAGGATCGATTGGACTTCCAGAAGTTCAAGGAGGGCCAGCCTGTGGTGTGGTTAAGGTGGCTGGATCCCACATGGCTGACTTTACAGACTGAGTCCCAACTCAGTGGCTTGAGAAACACATTCATATGTGGTTTTGCATATGTGCCTAAAATCCCAAAAAGGAGGGAGAAATGGAGAAGGAATTGCAGCATGACTATTCTCCATGGGAGAGAGGGGAAAGGATGCTTTATTTTGTCTCTCTCTGTCTCTCCAGCGAGTGCATGCACTCTATGGGGAGGGGGGGGAGATAGTAATAATAAATAAAAAAGAATGCAACCACCAATATTTTACTGAAAGGAGACTATATCTATTTTGATTATACCTTTGTTCTTTTCCTACATGTTTTTCAAAAAGGTAAACTTAACGTGACTTGCATACATTAAGTAGAATGTTTTTGCGTACACAAGAAACTGTGATCACAAGTAGCTTTGGAAGGGGATTAGTGATAACTTGTACTTTTTGTAAACAAAAAGATTGGTGGCACTACCACAAACCTATGAATCGAGGCTTTCACTAATCAGATCTGCAGCTCTGCCAGCCTCCCTCCACCTCAATCCTGAACCTCTGTGAATAAAGCAGTGACCTGGGAGTCCTCGCGCCTGCTCCCCATTCCTCGCCGGCCTGCCAACCCCGCATTGTCCTGCTGGATTTGCAGTCAGATGTCTGCTGCTGGCAGGCACCGGGCAGGCAATGAGTTCTCTCGCTGTAAGTTGGGCACAAAAAGATCAGCATGGGAGCAGCCTCCTTTGGGACAGCTGCTCTGAGAGAACACAGTAAGCAGGGAGCAGCCAGAAATCCCTCCTAGCCCAGGGCCACCGTGGGAGGAGTTGAGTTTGCTAAGTATTGTCATTTGCTAAGAGAAGGTGTGCGCTCAAGAGGAGGTTTCACCTAGAGGATCATTAACTCTTTCAGTCAGCTAGGGAGCGGCAGTGGCTCTACAAGTTCATCCTGGAAGCGCCTGCTCAGGAAGGTCAGGGAGAAGAAGTGGAATAACTTTTCATGGGGGATCACTCTGAGAAGGGCCAGCATGCTTTGCTCAACGAAGGAGAAGAAAATGAGATGGTAAGAGCGTTGCCACATTCCCTTCTTTCCATTCCCAATCCCTGGCTTCTGACACACTCTCGCTCTCTCTCTCTCTCTGTCTGTCTCATACTCACACGCACTCACACACATACTCACACATGTCTCAGCAATTTGACCCTGGTATTACATGAGAAAATGCAATGTTCAGGAAATCTCTGTCCCGTGAATGGGACCTCTGACAGCAGAAATGTGCTAGAATGGAAATATTGTATTTGCTTTATCAGAATGTTTTCTTCTTAAATAAAAGCCAAAGGGAGAAGCACAATGCCACTTTATGATCCGTTTTTGAGACTGACTCATCACTATAGCAAGCTCTGTTGAAAACTTGTAGAAATTTTGGCAAATCCCTAATGCGAGGAGCCACATATCCCTGATAGGAACCTCGCGGTGAGCAAGAGTCCAGCTGGGTCTTTGACCTTCCTGTCTCACGTTCCTGTTCGAGACCGCTGGACAGAGAAGATACCTGAAATAGGAACAACTCTCAGCCTCCACACATTGCTGTTTCCTTCCAGAACTGTACTCGGAGCTCTCTACTTATGCAGATTGGTTACACAAAACTTTCTGTAGTTCATGTCTCCTTTATTTTAGGAACTACAGGAAATCAGAGATGACTCTGAAGTTCCTGCGGAATTTAAAGCTGTATTTCTCAATTACAGTCTAATGAAGAGAGAGTTAGAAATGCATCCTTCTGTTTAATAAGGTCTTTCTGCTAATTGTGTCAGCGTGGTCTTTTATGCCAGTAATGATGTAATTAAAATATTAAATTGTGATGCTCTCATTTTATAATAGCACTTTATCTTCCTGGAATTAATATGTAAATAACAAACCTGAAAGATATTTACTTAAAATGTTTTCTTGGCTAATTGCTTTTGCTTTGACTATTAAATTCTTTGTTTCTAAACTGGTCTTTCAAGTCTAATCTGCTTACCTGTTCCTATAGTAACAACATTTTTGGGGCTTTCAAGAGTAGATCCCTTCTGCTATCAAAGCTCAAAAGTTATAAAGCGTTAAAAGGCACCGTAATCAGGTGACTTGCTTAACCATGTCCTTACTTCTTACAGACTTGATTGACAAATGACAATCATCTTCAGGCCCTACACTGATGTCCCCAGAAATGACTTTTGGATCCTAGGTTGGATATCATCTTTATCTCTCTGAAATGTTTTCTTTAGGAAGTGAATATTCCATAACTCTCTATATTAACTTGGAAATAATTAAAATAATTACCTTCATCTTGAATACTCATCACCAGAAGGTGGGGGGGGGACGCCTTCCCCTGCAATGGTTTCCTTCCCACCCCCACGCCATTGCCTTTCTCTTTTGGAAACACACACTCTTCCTTTACGCTCCCTCGGCTCTTCCACAATGGTCTTTTCAGTGTTGTTGAGAATGATACATCTTCTAGAAGGCATTCACAGGTCTAGGGAAGCTACTACTTCTTTTCCTAACCTGCACAGTCAACGCAATTTTGTTCATCATTCATCTTCATAACAGCACCACTAACTGTATCAGGATGTCGGCCTACTTTTGCGGACAGCCGAAAACCCAGTTAGGAGAGGACCTTCCGTAAGGAAAGGGACACTGTGTTTTCTGGAAAGAATCATTTGGCCCGTAGTTTCAGCAGAGGTGCAGTCATTAGTATGCACTCCTGAGCTCTCCATCTCACTTGGCCAAGAGAAACCTGGCCACCGGCCTGTTGCTGTGTCTTACACTATGGCCCATTTTAACTCACTCCTCCATCTCTCACCCAGACGTCAAAGATGAGCAAGATATCTTGGCTCTATTGCATGCATTTTTATAGTGACTTTTGGTTTACAAAGTATTTTGTTGGCCACCAGCTAATTTAATCTCCACCATAACTGTGGGGCAGGTGCTGTGATTTTCACTTTAAAGATGGGGAAACTGTTGTCCAGACAATTGCCTGACGTTGCCAGCCAGGAAGTCCAGGAGCTGAGGCGTCATATAGGATGAGGTACTTTGGTAGCTCTTTGTCTCTGGACATGCATAGAACTCATTTATACACCTTTCTCAGTCCTTCCCCGGCACATTGTACTTGTAGCAGGAGACCACATCTCCTCCCTTAATAAAACAAAGCTAAGGAAAACCTCAGATCTTTTCAGATGGCTCAGGATCTGCTCTGTGATGTATGATTTATATTGCCTGAGTAAATCTGTCTCTTTCGACTTCCACATTAACCCCTTTCAGAAAGCCAAGCTTGTTCAGAAATTTGCCACGCTGAAGTGTTTATAGTTTCTTGCTTTATAAAGTACCCTGAGTTTGGACTTTTGTAAACCTAATTCCTGTGATGATAGAAATGACTTTAGATTTCAAGAGAACACAGCATTCTGGGGTTTAGTCCTCATGTTGAATGAAGAAGAGGAGTATTCCTAGCACTAACAATGCCTGCGATTATCTTCTGTTCCAGAGTGAAAGGGCAAGAATGAGAGAGCAGCTCTAGGTGACCAGAGTGTAAAATGAGAAGGGAGCCACAGTCAGAAAAAGTTTTCAAAAACAGGGAAGGAAAGGAGAGAAAGTTCAGAAGAGGCTCACCCTAATGACTACCTCAGAAAGGTCTCAAAGAGGAGACTCCCAGAGGACACTAGAAGGCCTTGCTTGCACTAGCCGTGGCCTAGCCTAGGTCAGTTTTCACATCCATGAAATAGGTGTGGTTCCTTCCCCCCTGCCTATCTCTCACGGCTTTCATGAGGATCAGCTGAGATAATCTTTGTGGCAGTGTGTAGGGAAAAATGAAATTCTGGAGAAGTGTGAGTCACTATGATCCGACAAAGATAAGGGGGCTTTGAACCTCAGCAGTTAACCAACAGAATGACTACCACCCAGAAAGAGCATGTCATTTCTTCTTGCTAAACACCAACAAGAGAAGTAAGTGCTTTCATTCAAAAGCTACAGAAGTCCTTTATAAATAGGAACAGAATTACCTCATACTTACCTTGAAGAGAAAACACTTACCTGTCTGGGACTCTGTTTCCTTATTTATAGAGCGAGAAAATCAGACTGCCTGGGAGCTCAAGTCCCTTTGACTTTCGAAGCCACATATTTCTACTTTGAAAGGACTTAGAAACACTGAGAGCTCATTTCCTTATACCGTGACTGAACGAAGATACCCTATTTTAATTGATGTAAATATTACTCATTATTATCTTCAGTTATACTTGAATGAAATCGTAATGTTTCTGGGGAGGAGTTTTGTTCTAGTGAGACTGGTTTCAAAACGAATGTTCCCTGATTCCACCTTCTTCCCCCGGGTTTTAGCAAATAAGAATAAAAAAGCTCTTGTATTTTTTTCTAGTGAAAGGTAGCATGTTTGTTGTGAAAGTATTGAAATGCCAAGACTCTAAAGAATAAAGTCAACATGGTTTATAAGTGTATCATCCAGACATAACCAATATTATCCAATATTGGTGACTTCTAGGCTGACAAAAAAATGCATGCACAAAACTCACCATGTTCTAATTATTTTACTACAAGTTGATATTATCCGTGCCTTTGAGATTATTTATGTCTGTTGTATTTATTTCATGGAGAATACTTTGGAATGGCATGCAACTGGATATTTCTTTTTAACTTCTTACTCAGTGATATTGTATTAATGATTGAAATAAATAATGTTGGTAGCATTTATGCCACAGAAGTCAGTAAGTGCTACAGGGCTTCCACGCTGCCCCAACCGAGGGCTGGCTATTAAATATTTGTCAGCACACCACTGAATGTATTATTTCTTCATGACTTCTTTTTTTTTTTCACCATTCACATACAAATAAACAAACATTTTTATTTGTAAATTATCCATTTGTTTGCACTATGAATCTTGGCAAAACAGTATAGAGTCAATCACAATTTGTTCTTTAAAAAAATGTGCCCCATGTACTCACAAATAGTATTTTTTTTTCATTGAGCTCTGGAAAACCCAGCGTATCCTTTTTTTTCCCCTCTAAATCTTCATGTCATATAGACACTATTAAAGATTTGACCAAGGAAAATACAAAAAGAAAAGATTTAAGCTAGGTATGAGAAAAAATGGCTCCTGTGTCTACCAGTAGAGTTTTTGTGCTGGACATCTCTTGCCTCAGACCCCAGTCCCCTTAATGCCCTGCCCAAGGGCCTGCTCACCTCCTCTGTATGAGGGTCACTTATTCTTTTTCTATAACACATATTAATTATACATATGTAGGGGGTACAGCATGATTTTTCATTACAGGAATATAACGTGTACTAATCAAATCAGGTTAAAGTATCTATTATCTCATATTTCAAAATAGCTTAGAGCGAGGATTTCAAATGTTCTGAACACAACGTAATGATGAATATATATATTTCTAACCAAAAATGAAGTAATTCCATCTGTACTTTCTTTAAGCAGGCATTTCATTACATCCGAACAAGTACCATAGATACATTTTTCCTTTGGTAATTATAGCACTGCATAATCACCTCAGTGGTTAAGCTGTGGTTGGGTGAATTGTGCTGGATCAAGCCAATCGCTCTGTTATTCTTGATTTTATTTATTCATTTACTTGGCTGTGATGGACAGCTTTACAGGTTGATTTTTATGATCTTATTTGTCAGGTTATTTCTATAGGATAAAGCCCTAAAATAGGATTACGGCATCAAAGGGATGTACATTTTAAATTTTGATTCACATATAATGCCAGATTGTTCTCCAAAAATCTGATTGTACCAAAGTGTAATCTGAGCAGCAATCTTTCTAAAGAATACTGGCTTTCACTGAGATACGAGAAACAGTGTGGGAGAATGGTAGACAGTGGAGAGCGAGAAGGAGAGAATCAAGGGGGGAGGAAGCAAAACCTTTAATGAAAGTGAAGAATCACGTCTTGGTGATAATGGGTATGGTAATATCTTTAACTGGACTAGTATGCAGTATATTCGTCCCCACAAAGTTCATTCTGTATGCTGTCAAGATGTGCAATAATCAGATGGAAAAAATAAGAAAAAATTTC